GGAGTTTCAGCTTCAGCATCAGTCCTTCCATTGAACAACCAGGACTGATCTCCTTTAGGATGGACTGGTTGGATCTCCTTGCAGTCCAAAGGACTCTCAAGAGTCTTCTCCAACACCACAGTCCAAAAGCATCAATTTTTCAGCACTCAGCTTTCTTCACCGTCCAACTCTCACATGCATACATGACCACTGGAAAAACCATAGCCTTGACCAGACGGACCTTTGTTGGCAAAGTAATGTCTCTGCTTTTTAATATGCTATCTAGGTTGGTCATAACTTTCCTTCCAAGGAGTAAGTGTCTTTTAATCTCATGGCTGCAGTCACCATCTGCAGTGATTTTGGAGCCCAAAAAAATAAAGTCTGACACTATTTCCACTGTCTCCCCATCTATTTCCCAAGAGGTGATGGGACCAGTTGCCATGATCTTAGTTTTCTGAATGTTAAGCTTTAAGCCAACTTTTTCACTCTCCTCTTTCACTTTCATCAAGAGGCTTTTTGGTTCCTCTTCACTTTCTGCCATTAGGGTGGTGTCATCTGCATATCTAAGGTTATTGATATTTCTCTACCAGACCCCAAAATTTGTTACAAAGGTCCAGTACTGAAAACAGAGTGCTGTTCACCCAGCACCCAGATATTCTGTAGTAAAAGGAATCAAGGCTCTTTGAGAGAAGTCATTAACTCCACAACTGAGCATGGAAAGTAAAAGATGAGCTTGTAACATGTTTTGGTGCCAGTGAGCTAGAAAATGCATGGAAAAGGATGAGGGCATGTTGAAAGACCACAAGAGTCAATCTGAAGGAGGGCCTAAAAGCCTAAATCTATTCTGAACAACAGAATAATGATCATATTAAATTAACACAAATATCCATGAGTCCATGCTTATATAAACAAATGAGGGAGAAGGGGCATCTTTTCCTTACAGAATAATCCCAGTTAATGTACAAGGAATTGGGAAACCATGAAACCACCACTAGGCAAACAGTACAGAATTGTTGCAAGCAGGATGTCTTGATGGTAAAATCAGTGGGCGAAAGCTTGAGAAAAAAATAAATTTTCATAATTTCAATACCTCTCCCCCAACTCATATTGATATTTGCAACTGGTATCAATCAGTTGCAAAGGGGAAAATAATAATTTTACAATGGGGAGACCCAGTAGACACTGCCATAACCAAGTGATCATATTTGATACATCAGAATTCTGAAAAACAAGGAAAAACTAAGGAACTGTCACAGATTAGTAAAAGCTAAGGAGATGTAACTAGAGGCAAACTGGGATCCTGAATTGGATCATAAGATAGGGAAAAAATATTAGTGAAAAAACTGGTGAAATTCAAATAAAATCTGTTTGGTTAATACTATATGAGTATTAATATCAAAATATCAGTGTTAATTTCCTGCTTTGGATCATTGTACTACGGTTGTGTAAGATGTGAATATTGGAAAACTAGGAGAGAAGTATATGTGAACTCTGATATTTTTTGAAGCTATCCTCTCAGTCCAAGATTATTTTTAAAAAAAGAAAAAAACTGGCATGGTATTGACACAAGGTGCATTAGTTTCCCAGGGTTGCTGTAACAAAGAACCACAAGCTAAATGGCTTAAAACAACAGAAATTTATTAATCTCTCACAGTTCTAAAGGCTAAGAGTTCAAAATTAAGGTGTTGGCAGGGCCATGCTACCTCTGAAGGCTATCTGGGGAGGATCTTTCCTTGCCTCTTAGTTCCTGGTGGTTATCAGCAATCCTTGGTGTTTTTTGACTGGTAGGTACATCACTTCAGTTTCTGCCTTTGTCTTCACCTGGCTTTCTTCCCTGTGTCTCTGTATGTCCTCACATCTTCTTCTAAGAACAACAGTCATATTGGATTTATGGCCCACCCTCATCATAATATGACCTCATTTTAACTAATACATAGTCTGCAAAAATTATATTTCCAATTAAGGTTACATTCTGAAGTAGAAGTTTGATATTAATTTTGAGGGGGCTCTGTTCAATGTAGTACACAAGAATAGGCAAATAAACCAATGGGACAGAACAGAAACTCTAGAAACAGAACCACATACTGGTCTGACTTACAGCAGATATATCATTGCAACACAGTGGGGAAGAATCTTTTCAATAAATGAATCAAATGAAAATCTGCCTGTGGGTAAAACGAATCTTGACCTCTACTTCATGTCATACTTACAAATTTCAGATGGATCATAAACCTAAATGTGATAGGTAAAATAAATTATTTTCACAGTACACACACAAGATTATCTTCATGATCTGGAGGTTGACAAAGATTTCTTTAACTGCACACAAAAAGAACTGACGTTATTGGAAAGAGTTGATAAACAGGGAAGAGTTGATAAACTGGTGCATGTGTGCTCAGTCATTGTCCAACTGTTTGTGACCACATGGACTGTAGCCTGCCAGGCTCCTCTGTCCATGGAATTATCCAGGCAATAATACTGGAGTGGGTTGCTATTTCCTCCTCCAGGTGATCTTCCTGACTCAGGAATCGAACCTGAGTGTCCTCCATTAGCAGACAGATTCTTTACCACTGAGTCACCTGGGAAACCCAACTGGGCTTAATTTAAAAGCTGTTGTTCATCAAAAGATAACATTAAAAGAATGAAAAAAGCCATAGAGTAGGAGAAAATAATTGCAGTTCCCAACAGAGGACTTGCATCTAAAATATTTAAAGAACTTCTACAAATCAATAAGGAAAAGACAGTCAATTCATTTTCTTAAATGGACAAAATACTTGAATAGGCATTTCATAAAAGAATATATCCAGGCAGCTCTCACCTTCTTGGATGGCCCACACTGTCTGTGGAGTGTGTTTCTCTCTAAATAAACCCACTTCTTACTTTGTCTCTCACTGAAGTCTTTCTGCAATGAGACTTTAAAGTCTTTCTGCAGTCAAGAAGCAGAGCTTCATTATATCCAGAGACCAGGTGTGATCTTGAAACCAGGCAGGGCCCTATGGGGCTCCCAAGGATGGAGGCCTTTCTGTCTCCCATTTCTTTTTTTAATTAATTTATTTTTTGGTTGAAGGATAACTGCTTTACAGAATTTTGTTGTCTGTCAAACATCAACATGAATCAGCCATAAGTATACATATGTCCCCTCCCTGTCTCCCATTTCTTGTAGGCAAGACTTCAGTCTCCCATGACCTTCCCTGAGTTCCAAAGGGTGGATTAAAACAGTTGCTAATCAAAGGAGGGGCAGCAGCCAAGAAACCAGTGAGGCAAGATTAAAGGGACCAGAGAAGCTCATCAAGATTAGGAGACCTGTCACCTGAGATGAGATTAAGCGAAAGTCTCTCATGTCTGACTCTGTGACTCCATGGACTATGCTGTCCACGGAATTCTCCATGCCAGAATACTGGAGTGGGTAGCCATTCCCTTCTCCAGGGGATCTTCCCAACCCAGGGATAGAACTCAGGTCTCCCACATTACAGGTGATTCTTTACCAGCTGAGCCACCAGGGAAGCCCAAGAATACTAGAGTGGGTAGCCTATCCCTTCTCCAGCAGATCTTCCCGACCCAGGAATCAAACCCAGGTCTCCTGCATTGCAGGATTCTTGAGATTAAAGGAGTACAAGACCTGCTCACACCCTAATCTTGTCAGATCCCACCTTTGAGCCCTTATAAAAAGCCTCAAGTTCTCTGGGGTTGAGATACATAGTTTTTTGAGGCAGAAACCTGTCCTGTCTCCCTTTGCCTGACAAAACAATAAAGCTATCCTTTTCTGCTTCACTGCCCTGCCTCAAAAAGAAGTATCCAATCAGGCAATAGGCATATGAAAGGGTACTAAACATCATTTGGGAAATGCAAAATTAAAACCAAAATGAGAGGGTATTTCTCTGGCAGGCCAGTGGTTAGGACTTCACCTTCTAATGTAGGGGATGTGAGTTCAGTCCCTGGTCAGGCACTTAAGATCCCACATGCCTTGTAGCCAAAAAACCAAAACATAAAACAGAAGCAGTATTCTAACAAATTAAATTAAGACCTTTTCTTTAAAAGTCCACATCAAAAAAAGAAAAAGAAAACCAAAATGAGATACCACTGAACACTCACCAGATTGGCCAAAAAGTTTTAAACTGACCTTACCAAACTGTGGCAAAGACGTGGAACAACTAGAACTTTCATGTATACTACCTACCCATAGGAGTAAAATTTGTACAAGCACTTTGGAGCAGCAGTTCTACTCCTAGGTATATACTCAACAGAAATGAATCTATGTGTCCACTAAAAGACACACAGAAGAATTTGTATAGCAGCTTTATTTGTAACAGCCCCAAACTGAAAGAAACCTAAATATTTGTCAACAGTGAAATGGATAGTTTCATATTTATTCATAAAATGGAACACTGTGTCAGTCAAAAATAACAATTACTGCAGCAACATGGATATATTTCTCAAGTAATTGTTGATCGACAGAAGTCAACACAGAAGAGTATACACCAAATGATCCATTTATGTGAAGTTCAAAAACAATCATAGTTAATCTACAATGATAAAAATTAGGAGTTTTAGGGGTGAATATTGATTGGGAAGAGTCATTTCAGGGATGCTAGAAATGTTCTATGTACTGATATGGGTGATAGTTATATTAGTGTGTATAACTATTTAATTAATATTTGTATTCTTGAGGCTTTTGTTCATTGTTAGATGTATATTATACTTCAATTTTTAATTAAGAAAAATGTGACATATTAAATATTATATCATAAATAGAAAAAGAATTGAGGCTTCATTAAAATATTTGAGATTTTGTTTTAATGAGATTTCACTTAATCTTATATGTTTGGATAATGTTCTCTGGTTCACTGGTCACTTTCTCATAACATAGTAGTGGGTATGTCATTTGAGTGTATTCTAGAATAAAGCTTCTAGATTTTAAACTATAAGTTATACAAATTGATACCAAAAATAGGAAGTTTAAAATTTTTTTCAAAGTCTTATATGGAAATCTCAACATTGCATTGCTCATTTCTGTCTTTTAGGCTAAGACATCAAGCACACAAAGAATTTTATGCCTACAAACAGGTGAGAGAGATTTACTTAAGACCGGCTTTGATCATGTTTTTCACCAAATAATGAGGGCTCAGATTTCCACGCATATTTTGAACTGAGACTGGATTTGCTTGTGTTGATTTTAGTATTTTGCTTGTCAGTTTGCAGTACAATACACTTCACTTTACATATTCTTAAGTATTACTTGAAGTTATAGAAAGTTCAAATGATAAAATAATACAATTTAACAGGGAACTCTGGTGAACATTTTGCTAAAGGGAGATGCTGTAGCTTAAAGTCCTAAAGTTACTGTTATTCTAATGGAGTTCAGAGGTCCAGTAAATGAATTTTTTACCTTCCTCCTTGTTAAAAAACATACTAGTTCCTTGGAGGTAACCAGTTGTTATTATACTGATCTCATCTCTTCCCCTTTTACTTTAAATATTAGTTCACATCATACCACTGAGAAGTCCAGATACTTCTGTCATTGTTAATTCCTTGCCCTTAATACTGTTCCTTTGCTGCTTTGTTCTTTAAGGTAATAAATTTAACTTTTCTTGAAGGCCCGTAAAATTTTTTTTTTCTTCCATGTGTCATCCATTAATATTTTACCACTGACACCAAACAGTGGGCCTAGGTGTTCCTTAATTTTCTTTTGAAATTATTTTTGTCATCCTCAGTAGTTGGGAGGCAGAAAGTAGCAGGGGCACAAACTTCAGTTTATTTGGGTCTTTAATCTTGCTGATACTGATGTTACAGAACCATGTCATCATTTTAGAATTACATATCTTTTTGCCCATCTTTTGTCTGTGTTGCTTTGAAATCTGAGCTCATTGGTGAGTTCCTTAGATGTCCACACTGATATTCATAGGTGACCTCACTCTTCTCCGTGGGTCCTGTGAGATTCATTTACAGAGATAAATGTCTTAGTTTTCTAATGGAATGAATCTGTTTGTCTCCATTTTGTCTCAAATTGTTTTTTGAGAAACCTTTATACTGTTTTCCATAGTTAGTGGCTGCACCAACTTAAGTTCCCACCAACAGCACAGGAGAATTCCCTTTTTTTCCACACCCTCTCCAGCATTTGTTATTTGTAGATTTCTTAATGCTGGCCATTCTGACTGGTGTGAGGTGGCACTCCTTGTAGTTTTGATTTGCATTTCTCTGATAATTAGTATTGAGCATCTTTTCATGTGACTGTTGGCCATCTGTATGTCTTCTTTGGAGAAATGTTTATTTAGGTTTTCTGCCCATTTTTCAATTGGGTTGTTTTTTGTTACTGAGTTGTAAGAGTTGTTTGTATAACTTGGAAATTAAGCCCTCTTCAGTCACATCATTTGTGACTGTTTCAGTCAATTGTGACACATATTTTCTCCCAGTCTGTAGGTTATCTTTTCATTTTGTTTATGGTTTCCTTTGGGCTTCCCAGGTGACTCAGTGGTAAAGAATCTACCTGCCAATGCAGGAGACATGGGTTTGATCCCTGGGTTGGGAAGATGCCCTGGAGGAGGAAATGGCAACTCACTCCAGTATTCTTAGGGGAGAATCCCATGGACAGAGGAACCTGTTGGGCTGCTGCCCATGGGGTGGCAAAGAGTCGGACACAATTGAGCACGCATGCATGCAGTCTCCATAAAGTTAGGTTAGGAACAGCACCTGGATGAATTTCAAGCCCATTTATATAACTCTGGATAGAGCTAAAGTTTTCTGAGGATAGTAATGTATAATAGTAAGCAAAGCTTCAAAAATTAAGGTTGATCTTACCTTTCATTCTTTTACAAATTACCAGTCAGTCCCATGAGTCAAAACTGTGTTTTACCAAATCATGAGGCAAGCAATCTCATTTACTCCCTCCTGCCCATATTAGCAATTACTCCAGATTGGCATGTATTAATGTTGTCTCCCAAAATTTAATCTGTTCTCAAAGAGATTTTAAAATTGCTTTTCAGAAGAATATTGCACCAGTGCTCAAGTTAAAAGAATATTGTTGAAATGTTCTGTCTCAAACTGTAAAAGAGATTCTCCCCAATAATGAATATGAGGTGATATGAGCTATATACACAAGAATATAAAAGAAAAATATTTGTGAGTAAAATGAGACATATTTTAAATTACAGATAAAAACGGGCATAAAAGCATACTTTTTTGTCTTACAGGTTATATTAAAAGAAAAAGTAAAAGAACTGAATTTGCATGAGGTGAGTTGCCTATAAGTATTTTAATCTGTTCTTGAGTATATCTGGGGGCTTCCCAGGTGGCTCAGTGGTAAAGAATCCACCTGCTAATACAGGAGACACGGAAGACTCATGTTCAATCCCTAGGTCCAGAAAATCACCTGGAGTAGGAAATAGCAACCCACTCCAGTATTCTTACCTGGAAAATTCCATGGACTGAGGAGCCTGGTGGGCTACAGTCCATGGAGTTGCAAAGAGTCAGACACAACTGAGCACACACACCACCACTGAGTATATTCTAATAGAAATGGTATGCTCTGGTATGCTTAAACATCTTTATTTTCAGAAGCTGAAAAAAAAATTAGGCTTATTTTGATCAGCTTAATAGAATATTTGAGGATGAGGTCACATAAAAATCCATTTTGCAAAGACTTATAAGAGAGTAAAATAACTCATTTTTAACGGGGTTGTTGCCAATGTAAAATTTCATAGCAGCAGGGATGCTGCTTGCTATCCACACTATATGAGTAGGAGACAGATCTAAACAAGTTCTTCTACTTAAGATGAATTTGCATTAATTTCACTCTTAAAAATGTTCCCAGAGTTTTTTCTTACCAGTGCCACAAAAGAGGCAGTGATTGCTTCATTGCAGTGGGGATTTGGGGAGGTGAGACAAAAAGATGGAATGGGGAAGAACATACAAGGAGAGATAAGAACTCTTGCAGTTACCTAGTGATGAGGTTGTGGGGTTGGCATATTCACTATGTTGTTATGCTTTCTAAATTAAATACATAAGTGTGTGTGTGTCCTGCTGTATACCTTAAAAAAATAATCTACAATAATTCTTTTTTATTTTATTCCTGTGTTACCTCTGATTATGAATGTTCAGAATTTTTATTTTTAGAGCCCTATTTCTTCCACCCCTACTGAGTTTTTTAATTGGTGTTTAATGACTTGAAAAGCTTCACATTATAATATCTATGTTTTATATAACCTAATTGTGGTGAAGCTACGTTGCCAATCTCGTCAAAGAGAGTTAATTTGTAAAAGTATTTGAGTAATAATAAAAACAGTAATTTATGTTATTGTTGAACACTTTGAAGTCATCTGCTGCTTTTTTGGGCTTCCCCGGTGGCTCACACAGTAAAAAGGAATCTGCCTCCAATGCAAGAGACCTGGGTTCAATTCCTGGGTCAGGAAAATCACCTGGAGAAGGGAATGGCAACCCACCCCAGTATTCTTGCCTGGAGAATTCCATGGACAGAAGAGCCTGGCAGGCTACAGTCCATGGGGTTGCAAAGAGTTGTACACAACTGAGCAACTCACACACACACACACACACACACACAGCTTCTTTGCTCTTTCTGCATACATTTTATCAAAGAGTTGATATGGTACACCATCCTCATTGTATAGTGGTGAGTACCCAGCCTGTCATGCGGGAGACCAGGATTCCCCATTGGGGAGGCAACACGCGCTTTGGGCTTCCCTGGTAGCTCAGCTGGTAAAGAATCCGTACAGCATTTCAGACTTAATCATGGATTAAACTCAAGCATCAGTTACTATTTGATTTAAAATTTTTTCCCAAAACAGTAATAGAAAGTGATCCTCTTCTGTTTGGGGTCATTTTGATGACCATAATTGAAAAGATCAAATTCTAACACACATTAATGATATTGAATAACCATGTTTGTCAGAAATAGAAGTCTTCCTTATTGGTTTGACCTATTAGTTTAGAATCTTTATCTTGAATAAGTACATTGTGGTGCATCATTTTGTATCAGAATTGTTATCCTAGCTGCACCTATCAATTCCAGTTTCACTGTAACTAAGAAAACCTAACCTGGCTGTACAGCTGTTTTCAGAGGCCAATCATATATTTTTCACAGTTCATTTGGTTCTTTTTGGATGCATTTCTTTGTGTTGAAACTATTTTTTGTCAAACTTCTTTGTGTTGTTTGAATCTGTGGATACAGAGGAACTAAAGATACAAAGGAACCGTGGATACAGAGGGCTGACTAGAAATTATGCATGGATTTTTCAGCTGCACCCATAGCCCCCTGCGTTATGTTCCAGGGTCAACTGTAATTTTAAAAGTTACTGAATACATAAAACATATCAGACATTGTAATAAACCATGGTGACACAAAGAAACATAACTAATCTCTGCTTTTAAGACATTAACCAAAAAAAAAAACGACAACCATCTATTACAGAAGACTATAAATGAGAGTTACACAAGAGTGTACAGAAGGGTGCCATGTGTTATCTGAAGTAACAGTGAGAGGCTCTTGAGGGGTCCACTGTTGCACAATTGCTTCTTCTTGGCTTTTGCTCCCCTAATGGAGCCTTCCTGGGACCTTGCAGACTCAGCTACCCAAACACCACCCACCCCTCCAACTTCTTAGACCACTCTACAGCTATAGTTATTTATATCACTTTTTGTTTACATTGTTCTACCAGTCTAGGAGTCGAGCAACACTCAACATGTGGAACTAAGGAGATGATGTGTACATATTAAAATCATGAGAATAAATTGCCCTTCTGTAAAGAAAAAATACCTTCTTTTAAAACCCATAGTCTTCCTTGTTTATCTTTTCTTCCTCCATCTTTTAATAGAGACATAGATCCAGAGAAACAGATTTCTGAGAGAAAACAATAGGACAGTCATGTAAGTGGGATAATAAATTGCATCTAATGGAATCTTGGTATCAAGAGAAACAGAAAGGTGCCCTGGAAGCTGTGACACACTGGGGCATGCAATGTCTTGTGTTGAAGAAATTGTCAGCACTCAGCTCCAGGGGAATATAGACCAGCTATTGCCAGATGTGAGTTTTGTTTTGTTTTAAGAAAAGCCCAAGAGCCTTGTCATTTGCCTTCAGTCTTTGATTTGTTCACCGCAGTATCCCCAGCTCTGGTTATCGTGAGTGGTTGCGTCTATTTCTGGATTCTGTTCTGTTGATTTTTGTGCTTGTTTCCCTTCACCAGTACCACAGTTTTGATTACTGTACCTTTATAACAAGTCTTAAAATCAGGTGTATGATTCCTCCAACTTCATTTTTTTTTTCCAAAACTGTTTTAGCTGGTCTAGTTCCTTTGCTCTTTCATGTAAATTGTAGCAGCAACTTGTCTATAACTACACACAGAGAGACACAAACAATCCTGCTTTTTTATTATTATTTGCATTAAATATGTAAATCAGTTAGGGGGAAATTGGCATCTTTACCATTGAGTCTTCTAATCTGTAAACGCATTATGTATTTATATTTGAAGTAGTGTTTTTATAAACATATATAATTATGTTTTTTAATCCACCCTGCCAATCTGTCTTTTAATTGATGTGCTTAGACTATTTATGTTTAATGTAATTATTCCTATGTTTGGACTTGGGTCAACTTTTTATTATTTATCATCTGCTTTTTCTCCTCTTTTTTATTCCTTTGTTTCCCTTTCCTACCTTCTTTTGGGTCATTTAAACATTCATAAAATCATATTATGATTTTATCTTTTTGTATAATTTTTTAGTGGTTGCTTAGGGATTACAAAATAAATACCTAGAATCAATTTTTTAGCACTTCAGTTGGAATGTAGAAACCTTCCCACCATATAGATCCCTTTACTTTTACCCCTATATATAGTAAGTATATAGCATCTATATACATTGAAAATCCCATCAGACAGTGTTGTATTTTTTACTTTCAACCATTAGATATATTTTAAAGAATTCTGGAGGGGAAAAATAGTACATTGTTCCAAGTTTCCTTCTTATGTAATTTTCCTTCTATCTGATGAATCTTGTTCAGCAATTCTTTTAGAGCAGATCTGCTGGCTATGAATTCTATTACTTTGCTTTCAGCTGAGAATGTCTTTATTTCACCTTTATCCCTAAGTTGACATTTCTTTTCCTTCAGTGCTTTTAAAATGTTGTGCCTCTTCCTTCTGACCTCTGTGGTGTCTGATGAGAAAAACGTAGTCATTCAAATCATTGGTCTCCTGTCAATAATGTGTCATTTTTCTCTGGCTACTTTCCATTTTTTTCTTTGCCGTTTGTTTTCAGCATTTAGATTATGATTTGTTTCAGCATGGATTTCTTTGGATTTTTCCTGTTTGGAGTTTACTCAGCCTCATAAATATGTAGATTTGTCTTTCACCAAGCTTTTTAGCTATTATTTCTTCAAATATTTTGTCTGTATTGTACTCTATCCTGCCACTCTCCCAGAGAAGGCCTCGTCCACCTTCTGTGGCCATGTGGGCCAATCAGAACCGTAGGCCTATATCTACACAGTACAACACAGTGATAACAGACATCCATGTAGCTTCCAAATTTGAGCACACTTGGGTCCATCCCCTTTACTGTTAGGGTGATATTGCAGAAAGGAAAGGAGAACCTACTCCTTCCTGCATCTCAGCAGCTGGGGATCCTAGCTGCACAAGGATCAGGAAAACTCCTGGGTCAGGCAGAGAGTGAAAAAGGAGTCATGCGGCAAACATGCTATGGCCTTGCTCTACCCTCGTTTCCACAGGAAGGTAACCTCATGAAGTCGCCCCTTGTGTAAAATGAAGTTAAAAACATCTTTTCCGGACTTCCCTGATGGTCCAGTGGTTAAGAATCTGCCTGCCAGACGAGTTCTTTACCACTAGCGCCACCTTTAGTATCTATATACATATACATACACATATATATTAAAAACTGAATCACTTTGCTGTACGCCTGAAACACTGCAAATGAACTATATTTCAATTTTAAAAATTAACATTAAAAAAAGTTTAGGGACTTCGTGGTGGTCCAGTGGCTAAGACTCCATGCTCCCAATGCAGGGGGTTCAGTCCCTCTTGAGGGAACTAGATCCCACAGGTCACAATTAAGACCTGGTGCAAAAAAAAAAGACCTGGTGCAGCCAAATAATAAAATAAATTTTTTTAAATTAAAACAAAAAAAAGAATCTGCTGTCAATGCAGGGGACACAGTTTGATCCCTGGTCCAGGAAGATCCCACATGCCACAGGGCAACTCAGCCCATGCAG